CCAGCAATAGCTGCGCTGACTATCCAGCATCAAAAAGCAGTGAGACAAGCCCGGAAGGCTAAAGCGGATGTGTTTCTGGCGGAGGTAGATGCTGCAATACACGCTGGGGAGCAGTTTGTAGCCTACAAAGTTCTGAAACAGCTGCGCCCATGGCAGCCCTCCCAAAAGGCCCAGCTAAAGGATTCCACTTTAAAGGCTTTTTGCTAAGTCCGACTGGAGAACTAGAGGAACTTCGTAAATATGCTGCTGATGTCTTTGGCAATGCAAGACAATTTTGTTGCGCTGCCCCAGCTTGCCCCGGCCATGTTAGCTAAGCACATTGCTTCCATCAAACCAGGAAAGGCAGTGCCCAAAGGAGCGGCACCGGCGGCAGCCTGGAAGATCTCTGCTCAGCCCATTGCTGAGGCCCTTTCGGCTTACTGCAGCTCACTGTCTCCTGAGCAAACTATGGAGGACGGCCTCCTCAGCGCGGATCTCTGTCTGATTCCAAAACCAGGGAAACCGGCTGATAAGCCTACCCAGCTTCGCCCTTTAGGCATTCTCAGGCCTGATGCGAAGGGCCTAGCCGGTACTGCGAGAGAAATGCTGGCCCCTCATGTCGTTCCCTTCATGAAGCCGCTGCCTCAGTTTGCTTATCTCCCAGGCCGCGGCCTATCGGATTCGCAAAGCCGTGTCGTACAGCCGTACAGCACCTGAGGGAAGTTCGACTAATCGGTCGCTCGGCGAAACCCAGCAGGGAAGACAGAAAACGGGGACTCGGTCCACCATCATTGGTCCCATTGGTAGGGGGCATAACCTTTGCTCTTGACCTGTCACAGGCTTTTGACACAGTTTCGCGCCAGGACATACTAGACCAGCTGCAGGATCTTTCAGTAGAGCCCAGTCTGATTTCGCTGGTCCATGGCCTCCACCACTCCTCCAAGTATCGCCTTCATGCGCAGGGCAGCTTCACAGAGGTGGAAACGACCACAGGCATCAAACAGGGGTGCAAACTCGCGCCCACGCTGTTTTCAGTACTAACAGGACGCTTGCTCCACATGCTCATAGACATCTTTGGGCTAGAGGCGGTACAACATCTCACCGGATATGCTGACGATATATCTGTTCACAAGACCATACGCTCCCGCCTGGACTTGAAAATGGCGCATGACATGATCCAGGCCTTGTTGGCCGCTGTTGGGCGTCTTCGCCTGCGAGTGAATCCAGTCAAATGTTCGATCATGGTGCGACTTTCGGGAACTGAGGCGCCATCTGTTACCAGGCATCATACCTGTTGGCTACCAGATGCCTCTGGGGAGCACAACAAGCACTGGAGGATAGGCCCCAATAAGGCCTACCCTGCCTTTCGGCTCGAAGGCAAAATTAAGTATTTAGGCATTATCATTTCCTATGCCAACTACGTACGAAATGCTCACGCTACGCCATAGACTTGCAGAAGCTGGCAAGAAAATTCAGCAGGTCAGACGGTACATCTACAACAGACGAATCGCCAGCCCGGCCGCACGTCTGCGAGTGTGGTATGCTACTGTCTGGGCCACTGCCGTCACAGGACTGCCAGAAGTCGGTCTTTCACCTGAATCAGCTCGGCATCTTCGAGGCTGGTATGCGCACAAGATTCGCTCAGTGCTTAATCAGCCGGCCCATGTCACTCACATATAACGACTGCTGATCTTTTCAAACTTCAAAAGCTGCAGGACCCAGTGGACAAGATCATTCGGCGCATGAAAGGCAGGATAGCCAAACTGCGCAAGAGATCCCGGAGGGTAGCCGACGCGGCGGCTGATGTTGCTCTGCACTCCCACATTCTTATCGACTTAGACAACATCCTGAAGGAGGCTCAGGACATTCCAGTCGCCACCCCAGCTGCCTTGCAGCCTGCACATTCTTGCCACGTCTGTAGAGCAGCTTTTGACACCGAGCATGGCTTCCGCATGCACACCTCGAAGATGCACAGAGACACACTGTCGAGATTCATACCCCCTGTATTTGACAGGGAACTCCACGCCAAGGAGGGCAAGCCGGTCTGTGCGGCTTGCAACAAGTCCTTTAAACAGTGGAAAGGTCTGAGAGACCATCTCCTGTCGGGGGCCTGCTCAGCACCGGACGCTCTGCGTGACATCACCTACTCGGGGACTCTGTCCAACTCCAGCACCGATTTACTTCAGTTGCAGGAGCTCCGCCGTGAGGTACAGGGCTCGGCCCGGGCGCAACTGGCACAGCACGCTGCCACTCCCTCGGCACAAAAATTCTCCAGAATCGTTGTGTAGTCTGCGGCTTCTGGACGCCTGACCACACCATGCTCAAGTCCCACTTGCGCCAGGCGCACTTGCACGTCTGGCAAGAAGTTGGAGACACGGCTGGTAGGCTGTGTGCTGGTCACTCAGCCCAAACCATCAAGGGACAAGCCTGTCCATTCTGCAGGAGGAAGGTGCACGACAAGAAAAAACACCCTCAGCAGTGTGTTGTCCTATTTCAGGTCTGTCTATGCTGGCTACGGACACACCCCCAACCGTCGAATCGGGGACTCTGTCCACCTGCACCACTCACTACGGGGACTCGGTCCTTGAAGGACTTTTTTGCGCAGCAAGCACAGCGCCCCATAGCAACATCTCCTGATGTGCCTGAGCCGCCTCCGATTGCGCCGACTCCCGATCTTGCTGCAGGAGGTGCTCGGACGGATGAGAGACAACCAAGTGAAGCAGTGCGCACCATGCTGACTTCTGGCAACTCCTGTTATGCCAACTCAGTTTTACAAGCTCTTGCTGCTTTGAACGCTGGGCGATTCGCTTTTGAGTCTCTGCAGCCGCTGCTTGACCTTTGTGCCTCTCATGCCTCAGATGCCCGCCTCTGAACCCCACTGGGCTGTTCCAACTACGCTGTCTTCTCCCCAGATGGAGGTTTGACGGCAGACAACAGGACGCCTCAGAGTTCTACATCATGCTCACGTCCCACGGGGTCGGGGACTTACAGGCAGTTCAATGGCAGGGACGCACAGACGGATCAGTTGAAGCGGCGGACATAGGAGAATCCCCACTTCTACTTCCCCAAAACCAAGACCACACCAGCCTTACTCAGATTATTCGAGCTTGGAGCGACGGGGGTTTTCAGCGAGGATTGCTTTGGGCCCCACCATTGCTAGCTGTTGTTCTAGGTCGCTGGTCGAATGGCAATAATATCCAAACGGCCGTTACCTTTGCGGAAGTCAGCCTCCCAGTCTGGAGTGAGGGTCAGGATAGAACCTGGCATACATACAAAGTTCGCTCGGGCGTCTTCCACATAGGCGCCGAAGTAACCTCAGGCCATTACCGTTCATTCTGGTTCGACGAGCGAGATGCCCTCTGGACAGGAGAAGATGCAGTGAGACCGACCATTGCCTTGACCTCAGATGCAAAGAGAGTTCAAGAAGGATCGTTTCTGCTCGTCATGGAAAAACAGTGAAACCACCTACTTAGTGGGTGCTGGCCCGTTTTTACACCATTTAATTAACTTGCAAGCGCACGGGTGCCCGTGCGTGGGAAGGCCGGACCCCACAATAAGTGGACATGGCCCGCCCCCACGTCAAGGCCAAACATGCTGCAGGCATGTGCGGGCCTACCGCCGCAGTTTCGACCAAGGAAAAGCATGGCTGGAATCATTGCTAGCCCGGAGCGCAAGCGGAGCCCGGAGCACAGGCGCGGCAGCCACGGAGGCTCGCCCGCACACGCCGCTCCCAGATCCCCTGGCACCACGGCTGATGTCACATTACTGAGATCTCCGCGAATGCTGTGTGCTTTACTTGACGCGAAAGTCCTCGCAGTGCGGCCCTGTAGGGCCGTGCATCTCGCCTTGTGAAGCCCCCAGTCTTTCGCCCAGTTTTCGGTTTCAATGTGCTTGTTTTTGGTGCAACAGTTGGGTCCAAAACAAGCCTGTTGAGCTCCGCGGGCCGTCTTAAGCATCGCAGCTGCACTTTTTATTGCTTCGCAAGACCGAACAGCGTGCTAAAACGTTCTGGGCCAAGCTTTGCCTCGTGCTCCGCCGTGTCAATTTTCTTCACAACTGTTGTGGCCAAAAACTGCGGCTTCAGCCGACAAGGCCGTCTCAAGCCTTGTACCTGTGTTTGCTACACTGCGGGGAACCCCAGCGGCAGCGAGCCTCCAGCTCACCAACCAGTCACGGTAACTTGTGTGGAACTGGAAGTACTGACAGCTCTAGCCACGGGGGCCTCTGGCCAGTCATTAGTCCGTTGGTGGCTCGGCCAACTGACTTAGCATATTTTGCGCAGAGGTACAGGCCGTGAGTGCCGTCCTTCTCCTCCTTTTTGCAAAGCAGTACCGCTACTGAATTGAGCAAGATCAAAAGAGATGCGACGACGGCGAAGTCATCACGTGCGAATTGCGAGACACATCTTCAATGTCGTTCCGCGCTCAGCTCTGTGTGGAGGTCTCTCAAACCCGGCAAGTGCTCGTCGGTCCAACAGGATACGGGGCAGCCGCAGTAGGCAAACCTGCTCGGTGGAGATGCGGAGAGAGCCCCATGTGCTCGCCGGTAACCAGTACGAGGCAGCACAGCTTGGATCGGTCACATGAGCAATCGCATGCAGGATGTTTTTCTTTCGTTCAAAGATCCAGTCATGCTTTACGTAAACTTTACACCTTGATCAACTGGTCGGTTTCACACTTACTGAGTGCTCAGCGCGGTAATTGCCCGCCAAGCGTGGAGTCCGCTCGCGGAGCGTTCAATTGCAATTGCTGCTGCTGCTGCTGCTGATGGCGTCAGTTCACAGCTTAATCAGTACGAGTCCGAAAATACCTGGATAGGGTTTTGATGCGTTTGCCACACTTGGTGCGAGTAACCCATGCGAGCGGAACTATTCTTCACGGGGCATGATGCAAGGATCGGCACCTGAATGATCAATCGCCGGTGGGTCGCCCATATTCATGTCATCCAATTATCTTTGCACTCTCTGTCTGGAGTCAGCAGCTACGAATGTGGCTTATCGAATCACCCGGGATTCTTGCATATCAGAATCCCGCATCCAGCACTCTTATCTGGAGGTCACCATGTTTGGGTCGGGATCTCTTGATGCATAGAACGTCCTCCTTTAGTCTTGAGTGCGCCTCGGAGATCTGAGACATGGAGGACTTGCTCACTTCGAGCTTCTTCTCGTCGGGGGTTTGGTTGGCCGCCAAAGGAAACGGAAACCAGCCGTCATCCCCGTGAACCTTGACCTGGTTGGGGCTAGGCTAGGGGAGGAACTGGACATCCCAGCAAGGTTCAGTTTATCTTCAGCTGGGTCTACAGCAACCCGTGGCCCGAAGCACAGCCTTCGAGATTTCTTACAAGGTCCAGCTAGTCCTCCTTCAGGGTTCTGGTATGTTGCCGTCTCGCCAGCTCTTTCAACACCCGCCTCAGACTGCCAGTTGATCTCCTCGTCGTCCTTCAAGCGCTCCACACCATCGAGCACTTTGGCGGGAATGGTAAAGGTGCCCATGAGGTCATCCATCCGGCCGGTGTCTTCATCCCAAATCTCGCAGTGCACGTCCTCTCCGAGTCTCTAGCACTCCACAATCCTCAACCCTAAACGCCCAATGATCCTAAACTTTGACTCTCTTTGGCCTGTCCTCGCCAGCCTCCCAGGTCGATAGCCAGCCGTCACCACCGCCCTGATGAAGGACGTAGGGTCTCGTGAAAAACTGGCGTATCGGTTCGGACTTAGGAAACCTAACCTGGCCGATCATTTCGACGAACCCCTAATGTCTTGAGCAGCATCTCTCTTTTAAGGCACAGGTTGTCTCTGGTGCATCCAAGTCTAGATCGCAGTTCCAGTTCAGGGCCAGGGCTTTCAGGTCTCTCCAGCTAGCCGTTTGCACTGCTAGTCTGCGCCGATGTGCACCGTCTGTCCTGCGTCCACACGGGGTTGGCGCCTGCGCCGTGCACAGTCTTCCTGAGCTCAGGCAGGTTCGTCAACAGTGTTGAGTCAACAGTCTGGGCTGTCATGCCTCCGCCATAAAAGCAAAACTTCCCTAGTTAGTGCTATTCCGGCTTCGTCTGAAACTCGTCTTCTTCCTCATACTCATCCTTGCAGATAACGTATGGGTCGCTCTGCCCGAAGGTGTCCGTGTCAGGGAGGTCTGAAGCACTTTGCACGGAAATTGTGACGCCCTCCTCGTAAAGCTCTTCTAGCTCGTCCTCGGGGTTGTAGCACTCATCAACATCGGTGGGGTTCCAATCGACCATGCAGCGGCGACGACGCTCAACATTGCTGCAGTAGCCAAGCCGTCGACGTCGTCGCATGTTTGTGCTACAGCAGTCCTGGAGGTTGCCCTCCAGCATACCATTGAGAGTCGTTCCTGCCTTCTGCACAACGCCAGTGAGCTTGTCCTCATACAGCTTCATGGAGTCCACGCACTCGTCGGTGAGCGATATTGTGTCTCCAAGAGCATCGGAAGGTTGGCATATGCGCTCCACGATCCGGTCGAACAGGGGCTCCAGGAACTCCTTCGCCAGCAAGCCAATCGTTGCAGCGATGGGCAAGTCCCAAACAACACCCGGGATCGCTGCGGCGATGCCGGCAGTGATGGCTGCTCCCATTCCTGCCGCACCTATGTCCGCATAGGCATCGCACACGTTGTCGGCTATATCAAAAATGCCTTCACAAAGCCAAAAGGTAAAGAAGCAGATGGAAAAGCAGTCGCCGTTGGTGCCGTCTGGTGTCAGCGGGCTAGCCGGCGTCATACAGTTCTTCATCTCGATTGGGTCAAGCTCGAAATCGAACGGAAGCACATCACCAGGGGTAAAACGCCTCGAAGAATTGGACCGATTTGAAGCCAAACTTGCCATCACTGCATCTTTCATTCGCTTCTGAACAAGGCATGTTTCTTCCGGTGCCGCCAAGACGGCTCCCACAAGCGCGAGGAAAACCCGGAGCTCTCTCATATTTTTGCTCTCAAGCTGACTTCTGTGGTGAAGCAAAAGCCTGCACGAGCCCAAACGGCAACACTGCACACAAGCATAGCCATGCCCTGATCTTGTTCGACTGGTGTGCAGGATCAAAGCAGCCTAGCACGCAAAGCCGCCCACCTGGTACTCACGGGCAGCGGCAGAACAGCTGTCGGGCGCTACTTGCCAAGCATGCCACCGCCACCCCACAAAATGCGATTCCAGACGTGCATGAAGGTCTCAGTTGCCAGTAGCACATGTCCTATGCAACAACTTGGTTGAAATTGGAAGCTTCCGAACGGCACTTGCATGGTGGGACGCTCTTCTGGCCGCGTAGTCACTGCAAACTCATCGCTCACACCCCCATTGAAACCCAAACGAGAAGGCGGCGTGCTTTTTGTTACAAAGGACGGGTGTGAGTGCCTCAGCCGAACTCGCAATGGCTTTTTCGAGCATGGCTATGAATCTATCTTGAGCCATCCAACAGCAAGTAGGCTCACAAAATCTCACCAAGATGTGCCTCCAACCCAAATCCCGATGTTTAGCCGCTGATGAGGAGGTTCAGCAGCTCACGCCGCACAGCTGCTGAGGTGAACTTTGTCAATTTCGGCAGCTGCTTTTCTGCTTCTGCAACCGTTCGCCCGCCCGGGATTGTCTTCCGCCAGCCATAGCAGCTTCAGCCGCTCGATCACTGGCTGTTTTGACCAGCAGGGCTGCGTACTTCCGACCCTGAGCCGTGCTCATCGATGGCAATACCAGCTTCAGATGTGCCATGATTCGTTTTTATCTCGCTCACAGGTTGGGAATTATGTTGGGCTCCACTAAATCTTCTAGCCGGTCCGACATGGCCACTGCAATGGCTGCTGCGCACAAAGGGGAGGCTGTCAGACGCATAGTTCAATACAAGGTGGTGGGCGGCGGCAGCAGCAGCAGAAAGCAAACTCTGGAGGCCCGCCCAGCGCATACTCAGTCGCAGGTGCCAGCGGCAGAGAGTTTCTTTGCTTTTGATGGCATGTGCAAGCGGTCCTTGTTTTTGCTTGCGAGCCTTCGCAGTCAAGCGGCTTTAGCCACACACCTGCCGCGGGAGGTTTTGCTGCTTCGATGTTTGAGCTTGCTGACGCTGCAAAGTTTCGCAGCACGTTCGTCACTCTCGTGAGTGATTCAAAACAGCATGCCGGTACCACAGCATGCAATGCGAGCGAATGGATGCAATCAGTTCACTGTGTAAGTTATGTTTGTTGTTGTACAGCGCAAAATTCAAGGTTCGTGGGTTTCGGGCTGGGCTTCCTGCAGCAAACCCTTCCTCTGCTGCTGCTGCTGCTGCTGCTGCTGCTGAGTACCACTCGGGCACTCTCCTTCTCATCTCCAGAGCAGCTTTGTCTAAACTTCTGACTTCAAGCTCAGAGCTTCTGCGGCCGCACGAGCGCCGAAACACAAGGTCATTTCCCAACTCGGAAAAAACCCTGTGCCTCCAGCTTCGCGCACCCATCGCAGCTCGCCACGGCCTAGCGCTAGCGCTAGGCCGGCCAGGCGTTTCCTGCCGCGGAGGCTTGGGATGGAAGCTCGGACCTTGCTTCGGACCACAGGTCACGCCTGACGTGCAACCCATACGACATCATACGACCTAAAACCTGAGACGCATCAAGCCCTGGCCTGACATCCACACGGCTTTCCAATCTGCTTGACTGAAAATGCTCTCCCCACCCAGGTGGCCTGCTATCGGGCCACCTCCAGCGTGACCTTCGCATTTCCGGCGGGAGCCAGGACTTGAACTGGCCTCAGGACTTGCAGCGTCTTTTTGGGCAATGTCGCGAGACTGGGAGGACTTCAGCCAGCATTTGAGCTGACTATTATTATTCGCTAAGAATAGTCTATACATCCGGGTTATCAGGGAGGCATGGTGTTGCGATCCCTGAAGCAGCAAGCGCCCAAGTTTCTTTATCGCTTCATGATGTGCAAGACTCTCCGCAAGGAGTCTTCACTCATCACGCGGATTCATTGTCACTTGCGGTTCAGAACACTGATGCATTCCGAGACCCGAGAGCGTAGTCAGTAAGACTGAAGGCATGACATCGATAACACAACAAAACAAAGCAACAGCAGTACCACTCCTCCTCCTCTCCTCCTCTACGTGCTCGTGTGCACTTCTGCCGGTGCAATACCAATGCCACAATGATAGTCAAGCTGGTGAGGGTTACAGTCAATGACAATGATTTCGGCGAGATGGCCAAGAAAAAGAAATGCAGTCATATGAATTTTAACAGCATTGAAACCGAGAACTGGAGTAGCACCAGCAAACATGGTTTGAAGTGCTACAAGCAGTAATAACGGCACAACCAACATCTGCCGACGACGATCGAAAGCCTGCTAGTCTGATGTTGTCTGGGCATAGGCAATAGAACATTGCAACAACATTTAGCAGAACATCAACAGCAACAGGAGCGGCCACGCAATCCAAAGACAACACAAGAGAAACAGAATTGTGCCGAGCGGCAGGTCCAAGTGTGGCAGTTTTCCAAGCAGAAAATCGCCTCAAACTGGCCGATGGGCACCTGGAGCCTGGCTTCATCACAAGGACTGTCCGCCTTTTTTTCTGTCGCTGGTTGGAGCAGGACTGTGGCTTAAGTCAGAGCAGGAGGAAAGGGGCGCGGGAAACTCCTCTCCCCAATGTGTCGACATGACTCGGTCCAACTTGCCAGCTCAGCCGACATCGAAGTCATGTCCCAATCTCTAGGTTTCCCGGCAAGCTCAGTGTAGACGCTAGCAGCTCGCCAGGCTCACTCACTGGCGTCCAAGGTACCAACCTCAGCAAACGATGCCGGCAGGATGTAGGTTGCATGACTGCCCAGGTCTTGGGCCACAGCCGTCGCATAATTCAAAGGCGCGCTGCCCGAATTTGTGTGTACGTAGTGCACGGCTCCACTAGTGAAATCTGTCTGTCTCTCAGGCTGTGACAGATGAGCTTAGAAGATCTCCAGTCTGTCAACCAATGCCGACAATCCCACAGACTAGAACCTACCATCAAATTGAAGCGCCATGTCCTGATTCCCCCAGGACGAATGCACTGAGCGCCACGGCCCCTTTTGGATGAGGCTCCACCGGCCCCAGTAAGCTTTGGCCATGTGGCCTCAACATCTCAAGTCGTACTGACCGCTTTGATCGTTGAGGCCGAGCCTACATGCCCTCGCTGCATTGACCTTTGTCTTAGGTCCTAATAGTTGTCTTGCATCCCTTGAGCACAGTTGCTGCCAAGCCAACCGAGTAACGCGGGACGATGGCGTGCCAATCGTTGACGATGAACCTGGCAGCAATCTGTTCTGAATGCTAATGGTCCCGATGAGGTCGCGACTGAGACTACGAAGAAAAGGCCCCTTTGCAGAGACACCGATTTGAGAGCCCTTCGCTGTGACTTCAGCAGCTCCAATGTCGGGATGCCTCCGAATCATGGTGGAGCCCTTCTTCGTCTTCTTCCCGTCCCAACGCAGAAAACTTGTGGTATGCGATCTTGCCGGAACGGATGACGCCAAGTCGCCGGGGACGCGTATGGCATTGCTGTATTTTTTTTGAGGACCTTTTTCGGTCCTGCAAGAAGTCGGAGAGCCTGCAGGAGGCAGGCTGTGGTTCGCGCGACAAAGCATGACACACATTCGGAGGACGTGGGTACATTCGCGACCGCGGGTGGATGCAAGTGCCGGAAACGATATCTGAGTACTTTACTCAGCAGTGCGTTCGCCAATGAAGCCAATGCATAGGCAGCAGCTTTGTGCCAGAAGCGTGTGTTGACCCGTGTCACCGCATTTGCAAATGCAGCCTTCACCTGGGCACCTGGTTTGCATCAACACCAAAGGTTCAACCGCGCTGTCCCGACATAAGCAGTCGCAATGCACAAACATGTGTAGGCTGCTTTTACTCTCCATTCTTCCTTGACACCCTCAGGCCACAGTTGATGTTTTTGTTGCAAGAACAAATGCACTTTCGAACGCATTCATGTTGTTTCTGTGTGTCTTCCAGGTACACTTTCTTGTGACGATGACTATTTCTATTTATTCTGTTCCTGTGATCCAACAAGGTTTGCAGCCTTGCGAGGCCGTCAAGGGCAATAGCTGGATGTTTGCAACCCACGACGGTCTTTGGTTCCGAGCATCAGGTGAACAGTCTCGAAGCGTGACAGCCGGGTCGCCGGTTGTCAAGTTCAACGCCGCGGGCACCCCAGAGCGGCGCAGTCCAAATCTTTGACCTGCGCAGCTGGGATGGGAAGGACTGCGAGGACGTGGCCGTGGAACTTGCGCCTTGCACTGCATGTTCCCTGTTCCCTAGCTGAGAGCTGTGGAAAATTGAGGGCCAGACTTGTCAAAGAACGCCAAAGGCGGATGGTTGGTCACCCATATCATGTCCTGTGCATGGAGAATGTGGGGAGATCAAAGGTGCACCCTTCAAAGCCGCGCTTCATCCAGCACTGCATTTGGAGAACTCCTTTTGCTTGCCTCACTTTCCCACATTCTAACATTCTAACTCAGGACCGGGAGTCCAAACGGCTGTGAAGCAGCCACTGGAAGCGGCAGCCGCGCTGCTTCTCGTAGTCTCCAGCGACAAGGGGTGTGGGGTTGCGTTTGAAGCAAGCAGCGGGAAGAACTAGTGCAAGGGAGAATGGAAGCCGTGCCCTTGTCATCACGCTGACTCCGCGTCTCCAAGCTGGCCTTGCGCCAACTCAAGCACCATCCTTAGGTAGTGAGACGTCTCAGGCCCTCAGCTTGTGTCGGTGCAGTCTGGCAAGGATCAGCTCCGGCTGGACTGATCCATTCAATGACACGAGAGCAGGAAGAATTTGCGCGCGAGCAAGTTTCCAATGACGGGCGCTTAATGGGCAAAAGGCGAAGTGGGACATGTCTGAAACTCTCTTGACTCTCATCTCCCAGACTGAGCTCTTGAACTGACCGTGGCATTTTCTTGCGGAATGCTCGGCAGTAACTCGGCAAAGTGACATGAGCTTCCGCAGGCTGTGCAGATTGGCTCCAGCAGGGTTGCCTTAGGGCTGGCTTCATCTTCGATGGTACCCGAAAGCTCCGGGAATGCAGCTCCTCTTCTCTCAGCTTCCTACAACCCGGTCAGCCTAAAAGCCCAAAAAGCCTTCACCCTAAATTACCCGAACCCTAAACCCTTAAACCCTTCAACCCTAAGTCACCCTAAATGCCCTAAGCCCTAAATTACCCTAAGCCCTGAAAACTTCTCCTATTTTTTTCAGACTTTGGCTTCCGGGGCACCACGGAGCGGCGAGAGCGCTCCAGCGCCCAGGGCCTCGTAGATCGCCAGTGCTCGAGGCCTCAGAGGAATATCAGTATATTGTATTATATTATATTATATTATGTTAGAATATAATAGAATATAGTATATTATATTATGTTAGAATATATTATACTATATTATATTATGTTAGAATATATTAGAATATATTATATTATGTTAGAACATATTGGAATATATTATATTATAATATGTTAGAATATATTAGAATATATTATATTATATTATGTTAGAGTATATTAGAATATGTTATATTATATTATGTTAGAATATATTAGAATATGTTGGAATATAATATATTACATTACATTATATTACATTATATTATATTATACTATATTATATTATATTATATTAAATTAGAATATATTAGAATATACTATATTACATTACATTATATTACATTACACTACATTTTTATATTATATTATACTATATTCGAATATATTACATTACATTAGATTAGAATATATTAGATTATATTAGAAAACATTACATTACATTATATTATATTATTTTAGAATATATTGCATTACATTATATATTACGATGTATTAGATTATATTAGAATACATTACATTACATTACATGATATTATAATGTATTATATTATACTTTATTATATTATAGTATATTATAGTATATTATATTAGAATATATTACATTACATTATATTAGAATATATTAGATTATATTAGAATACATTACATTATATTACATTACATTATATTATATTAGATTAGATTAGATTATATTATATTATATTATATTATATTATACTATATTATATTATATTATATTATATTATATTATAAGAACGAATCATAGAAGCAGAAACTGCGAGCATCGTCTCCGCGTTCCACAGGTCATGTCTGGACTCTGAATTCTTGCTGTGATCCGAAGGCCGGACATGATGACGGGATGCTGCTACCTTTCTGAAGAAGCCGAGGGTCTTGATGCTTGCACGCAAATCCTTCTCGGAAAGGTCCTGCACCTCAAAGGACAGCACACGACTGCACAGTCTCGACCGAGGATTCCCGCGAACCTTCTGCCCAAGCGGCCCGTTTGATGCTGGCCAGGGTGGGCCAAAGCCGCCGCAGACGATGTCTCAGGACAACGACGCAGTGTCTTTGCTTTGACGCCATCAAACAGGTCATGCCCGCGACCTCAAGTTTGCAGCCTCAAGTTGGTCCTGACTTCCAACACCCCGTTGTTCTGACATTTGCTTAGCTGGGTGTTCAACAGCAAGTGCTGAGATTTGCCTCACCCGTGGTGCATCGAACTCTTTTACATGGATCACAGCAGGGGATGGTCTTCCACTACACATGGCAATGCAGGACGAGCCGCTCGTCCTGGCGGTGGGCACCACTTGTCACGGCGAAAGCCCTTGCCTTGACTTGGCGATCAAGCATCTACAAGATGCAATGCTCCCTGAGTGTTGGCGACCCCGCAAGGCCCAAAGCCTCTCGCCCCGGTCACGTCGCCTCGCTAAGCTTATGACGTCCATTATCAGCACCAACTAGAATGGTGATAGGAACGGGCAAGGTGGTCACGATACGGCTGACGACGGAAGTGATTTCGATAACGATGAGGTCACTGTCGTAAAATCGAGGCGGTTGGAGACGCAGACTGGCAATGTCGGAAGAAGAAGGTGGTATCAAATAGGGGGCGTTTCGGATTAGCGAATTCATACCGCCATTGGTGTGGCGAACAATCCAAGCTAGCATAAGAGAAAGGTATGTATTGAAACGGCAGCAGTGGCGATGGTCGTCCTCTGCGTGGGCTTCTTCTTCGTCGTAGTGCTAGTCCGTACTAGTAGTAGTAGTAGTAGTAGTAGTAGTGGTGGTGGTGGTGGTGGTGGTGGTGGTGGTAGTAGTACCAGTAGTAGCAGCAGCAGCAGCAGTAGCAGTAGCAGTAGCAGTAGCAGTAGCAGTAGCAGTACTAGTCGTAGTAGTAGTAGTAGTAGTAGTAGTAGCAGTAGCAGTAGCAGTAGCAGTAGCAGTAGCAGTAGC